CCAAAGATATTTTTGGAAGTAATTTAGAAACAATGCCTCCGTTACATAGTTTGTCCACTACAGAGTACTTCAGCTGAACGTTGGATGGCGTCTTTGCAAGAACTGGATTTGGTGTCTTGTGTCTTTCTTTTTGTTTTATACAGTGGAGGCCTGTATGGAGAGGAGGATGAATTATTGGGACTGAGAAAGCTCTCTACATACAGTTGGGCAGAGGGTATAAAATCAAGATGATATCTGAACCAATCCTTCATTTGTTTTATTCCAGAATGAGATCTAATAATGAGACATATATAATGATTTCTGGCATGAAGTTGAATCACACAGTTTTTAAATCATGACTCATCTGGCTTGTTTATCTGCTCCCAGAGATAAAACTATTTGCTTTTACTTATATATTTTTTCTATGCATTACAGTTCAAAATGAATATATAGCGAATCAGAATGAAACTTTTCTGTTTTAAGGCTGCACAAAGTTGTACAATCTATTTCTTAATTATGGATTTAATTATCAATTGGCTGTTTCAGACAAATTTAAAGAATAGACGGTAAGAAATGAAGACACTGTCGCTTTCTTTCTCACAGCTTTTATTCTTGAGAGCCTCGCACAATTTGTATTGGCTGACTCCAGATTTTTCCAGCGTTAAAATGCTTTGCTTGAGAGGCAGTTATTGGGAGTTGACACATGGTGTTTGTGTGTCCTTTGAGGGCTGAATGGATATTAAAAACTAATTTGAAAGGTTTAGAGCAACTGTTGTCACATCAACATTAGCATTGTGTTGATTGCTGCATTGTGCGACTACATTCTTGCTGCTGCTCAGACATTTAAAATACTTTAGGGTGCTGTATGTTCAGTGGATACAAGGTCTGCTACAGAAACTTAAATATGATGAATCAGAAAGGGAAAAAGCTGCTGAGTCAAAACAAAATCAGTTGCCCTGAGATCAAAAAACACTGCGTTTAAAAAAAATAGGATAGGTCCATTTAGAATAATTGATTTCGTCACACTACAATTTAACTTGGTGACATTATTTTGAGAGTGTTGTTCGGCTCTGATGTTGGATGTCCTGTAGAGTAGTGAGGAAGAGGAAGGACAACTGAATGTGTGGGATTGGACTTTTTATATTTATTCTATATTTATGAGGAATGTTACTTTCTGTCAGTTTAAATCTTTTTGTTTCCTTTTCATGTTTTGTTTTTGGAAAGATGTTTTTTTTTAGTCATAGAGCTGACACAGTATTTAATTTTAATGATCCGATTTTCACCTGCAGTTTGTCAAAACGCTGTAATGTTTTTTCTCTTTCTGTGACTGAAAGTCCATCGTGATTGTAATAATTAGACTCACAGTTGCAATGACACTTTATTTTGGAAGAGTCTACCTGAGATGAAACTAATGTCACATTATGCAGTTTTATTCTCTATGCACAGACCTGGCTCAGTTAGTATTTTGCAGATGATTACCTGTTTTTAAACTTTTAAACATCCCCGAGAACACACAGTGAAATGAGTCCCAGTAAATTCAGACTATAATACCTCAATATGCTTTTTTCCTCTTTCTGCAATCAAAAACTTGTTTAACAGTTTTCCCCCAACAAATGTAAACAATTTCTTAAAAATAATTTGCGGATAAGCTATCTCCATGTATGTTTATTGAGCCATTGGAGCCAGTTTCTGTACTGCTTGATGTGAAACATCCACCTTAAAACAGTGACCGTATGCTGCTGTGCCTGTTTTATTGTTTGGTGTGTTTACCTTCTCTATCAGAGAGTGACGAGTCAAACAACTGTACAGGAAGGGGCCAGTAAGCTATATTTATATTTCCTTACATCCAAATATGATTGAAAGCAGCAGAATTAAAGTGTAAGGCATTCTGGGACAGTGGTTTTCCAACTACGGTCTGGGAAATATTATAACATTTATCACATTTTAGGGAAGTTGGCTATGTTTGATTGTAAATTATAATAATTCCAGTTTGATCATTGATTGACTATATCTAAGGCTTTCTCTTCAAACCTAAAACATCCTTAAGCCAAAATGTAATCAATTTGGTAGTCCCTGGTCTAACGTGCATCTGTTGTGGGGATCCTTGACATGAAAAACCAGGAAAATAATAAAATAACACAAATAAAAATCTTTTGGGGTGGATTTTTCCTTTAAGCATTTCCCCCTCCTGTCTTTTCTATATTGCTTATGATTCAGTATGAACAGCTGGCCGGGGACAGATGTCATTTTGTCTGAGGTTTATTTAACCAAATGGATTCGGCACTTTGTGGAGCTCTAACAATCACAGAAACCTTTTAGAGAGACCATTTAGAAGCGTGGTTGTGTGTGTGTGAAGTTATATTCAGCAATCATTTTATAAAATAAACAAACCGAACAGAAAACATATTTTAAGTATGTATTTACAGCATACAAAGGTGTCACTTCCCTCAATTGTAACGTTTTGTTTGTTTTTTTAAATGTAGGTACAGGTCTTATTTTACTGCCCATTTTATTAGACATTATGTATTTTAAACCATGTTAAACAATAGTTGAATGTGTTATATTTCGTCCAATCAATAATCAGTATTAGCTGGTGAAACAGAAACCTTTCTGTAGCTTTTTTCACTCATTCGATTCTGGTCAGACACATCTGGTTTAACTTCAGTTGAGTTTGAAGAAGCTGTGGGTGGTTTTTAGTTTGTGGAGTGGGCTGTGGTTGCTATGGTTACTGTGTTTTTATCATTTGAAGCCCGAACCATCAGCCCGGCCTGCACGGGGGAGGGGGGGCAGACTTACCTGTAGCCTTGCATAATGATAAAACTTGAACGAAAACACAATCAGTCACAGCGTAAACCAGCTGAATGTTTGCCACTACATCGAGAAAAGACATTAAACTTTGTGTGGTTGGAGTGGGAGGAGAGTGGTTCAACTTCTTTCATGTGCTGCGTTGTTTTGCTTGTTTCAGATATTTTTTAAAGTTGAATAATTTATTTCCTGGCAAAATAAAGACAACTGTAAAGAAAGAGATTTCTGCTTTCTCTCTTTTTCTTTGACTTCCAGACACTTTTGTCACTGTAAGACAATGCAGACAACCTCCGACTGTTGGAGGTCTAGGTCATTATGTATGAAGCTGCTCAGAGTAAAATCATGTCCTGAAGTTGGTCACAAATCTAAGAATGTCATAATTTCACATTTATTCTTCCAATTAAAAAGAAGTGCCCTGCATAAACATTCGTCTGAATGATTTAAATGATTTCAGAGAGCTCCAGGTTTCCTCAGTTAGTTACTGTCCATATATATATATGCATACATATATTGAAAGTGTGAGGTATGTTGGTAAAAGGTCTATGGCAGTTCATGACATGATGGATTCAGCATGAATACAATTACATGTTAGAGTAATTCTTCCCAATATGCTTTCAATTTTAAGTCTTTAATCTGGACCGTCCCCCTTGTAGGCAATAAATGTCAGAGATTGGACAGAAATGTTGATTGATTTTAATCAGTTATTGTTTAATATGAGTGTAATCAAACAGTTAATCTGACCATGTGGAACTGTACGTTCAAGGTGAGTTGGTGTAAACTGAGAGCAGCTGGAATTATGAAGCAAAGATTTGGATCAAGATAATTACACATAACTAAAAGTAGTTATGAATAAACATTTCAGTTAAGTGAAATAAAAATGTTAGGGTTAAGTTAAGGGAATAAATGACTAAACTAAAATAAAATAAAAACATACAGGAAATGTCTTTAGTTTTAGTCAATTTGGTAACAAGCATGAGGAAGAATGATGAATATGACTTTGATGTCCACATGAGTCAGTCTCTGTATTGTAATACCTATTTTGACAAATAATGAAAAAAAACAAAAAACTATGAAAACTAAACATTTTTAAACCTTAGGAAGTAAACTGAAATGAGCAAACCCAACAACAAAAATAACAAACAAAATAAAAACAAAAACGAATGAAAAATACAAAACTATAACAACTATGATTTGGTAATAAGTAATAAATTCAGGTTCTACATTTACAGCATCACAAGGCGCTTTGGAATTAAAAGTCTCTCTCATGCACCGTCTGGCCGTTCAATAAACACTTGAACAGGAATTCTTCACTCCACGTGGTCACAGGGAGGTTGAGACCCTCTCCCAGTAATTTACAGCCAATTCAAGATCAACCATTGGATTTAAACTGCAGGTGCTCCAGTGACCTGGGCTGAGCACAAAGGTAACGGGGGAGAGGGTGGTCTCTGTCTTTGGTTCCTACCTCCAGGGCTTTACTGAAAACACTGGGACTTTTGGCACGGCAATGATACTGAGCCACCCAAAAAAGAAAATTGCTGCGTGTGGTCAAAATGGTATTCTTGGGCCACTATGTTTACTAAAAATACCTCGCAGCTCAGTGTGGTTCCTTGTTAACTACAGGATGCCAACAGGTCGTAACACTGCATCAGTGAAGAGGAACTTAAGCCATAATGGAAGATTTCTGCCAATAGCTAGCTGTGTTTAAACATGGCGTTATGGTACTGGGTTATTTGTAAAGCATCTTTCAACAAGGCGATACAAAAGACATGAGAGACACTGAGACAGGATGTAAAAGAAGGGACTATAAAAGACATATAAATAAGATTTAGTAAGAGTAAATTAAAATAAAAGATGAAAATAAGCTGAAATATAATAAAACCTTTTAAACAGTAGAATAAAAAATACACAAAGTAATAGCTGAAAGACATAAGAGATCCAATCAGAGGAAAAACTAAAGACAACAAGAAAACAAAGTTTATAGCTAGACATGTTTTCAGGATATTCAGCTACAACCAACACAGGTACTGTAAATCATTTTGTAAACAGACATTTACGTAAATCAAGATAAAACAACAATAAATCTGTCTTCCAAAAAGTAAACCCTCTCTTCGTGCTGTATATTTACTGTTACAGGAGAACAAATATCTTGTGGTAAACAGGTCATTTGGTAAACTTTAATGGAGATCGGACAGCTGGATCAACCCTGGATGGACGGCTTAGATGTTGGTGAGCAACGTAGTGGTTACTATGGCAACGGTGATGGTTCCAGGAAGGTCGTTGTCACGGTGATCACCTTTGTCCCTCAGGTGGAGCGTAGTCACAAAAAGAATCCAATTTGTTTTTGGTGGGTTGTTAGATCTGAGGAGGAACAGTGAGAGAGGAGGTTAACAAGTTTCAACCCCACACCTACACCATCCTTCATTCTGAGCGTGAACCACACCACCCAAAGCACTACACACACACCACACACCACACACACACACACACACACAGCAACCATCAACCACACCACCACACACACAACACACCACCACACACAGCAGGCACAGCACACCCAACAACCTCCGATTGCGACTTGGCTGTCTTGCTTGTTTCTTCCTGTAGAAAGAGGCCCCTTGATCTGTCGAAGACGGGGTCTTGGCGTGTCGCTTGCTATGGACCGGAGAGCGAAACCTTTCTCTCCTTCCACAACGAAATGATCCACGTAGGGTCCCGACACTGGGGGAGACGGACCCACAACACCGGGTAACGACGCTTTGATCACACACACACACACACACACACACACACACACACACCAATAAACTTAATTAAGCTGATTCAAGGTAATAGTACGAACTAAGACAATAATTCAGGGTATAACACTTAACACTGAAATGTCCACAGAGTGCCACAGAAACACCTTAAATACCCTGTACAATAGAGATGACCCAATCAAGTTGTTATGCCCCTGATCCAGGTTATTTAATATTGAGATATTTCCTAGACAATACAGTTGCACAGCGCTGAATAACTCTCTTACAGAGCACAGTGGATTGGAGAAGAGACAGAAAGCGGAGAGCTGAAGACGGCTACAGTCATTGTGTGACTGTAACAGCTGATGTAAATTAAAGGATGTCAATATATAGGCCAATATAGATCAGTTAAAAATGCCTTGATTGATACCAATCTCTGCATAATGTAATATAATATAATGAAAAAGTCAAGAAAAAGTTCAATTTGACCTGATTAAAAACAAATAAATAACAAAAACGTACCTTCTTCGGAGTCTTTTCCTATGAGTCCATTTGCGTTCATTACGTGGACCTGAGTGACCAGAGTAGGATAACCACACATTCCAGACCAGCAGGTCTGTGGAGGCTCATCTAGAGTCAACTCCCTACAGGAGAGAGAGACAGAGAGAGAGAGAGAGAGAGAGAGAGAGAGACAGAGAAGACAGATAAAATGATACTAGTATTTGTTACTGTGTTCATATTATTGTGTTTCTTCAGTATCTTGTGTTGTTCTTAAAAAGGCCTTTTGCCCTGTGATTATCTTAGCGGTGGTTTAAGGAGCCACTTGCAGGTTGGCAACCTCAGTGAATGACTGTGTAGGAAAATCATTTTTTAACAAAAGAAATACAAAAACGACTCGAGATGTTACTGTACAGGTAGTCTATAGTATAAACTCCTATAACATGTCCACCTCAAAAAAGAGAAAGTGGACATGACGTCACATAAGGGAGAGTTTGATAATAACAATTCTATTGCTAATTTGTCATAATTATGTGCCTGTTAGGCATCCAAGAGACCAGGGACTGAGGTATTTATTAACAATGTTTCAGTACACAGACCTTCATCAGATTATTTTAACAATAACGATTTACCTGACGAAGGTCTGTGCACCAAAACATTGCTAATAAATATCTCTGACTGTAAGTGAAGAGGACAGTCTGTGGGAGTTTTGGTCTTCTCCTACACAACTGTCAATCTATAGGTGTGCAAAGGTGTTGCTCTTCTAAGAAACAATGACAAATTGAGCTGTAGTGTGCAGTTTAAACCATTGTTGTCTGGAACAAAATCACATGGTTCCTTAAAGCTCAGCGCTGTGTCCTCAGAGAGTGCATTGTATGTGAGGTTTAACTTAAACCTGCTGCAGACCTGGCAGTATTAATAAAAGAATACAAGTCGACAACGAAGAAATGAACACATAAATGAAGATGATCTATTGGCAATTGCTGGATTATTCAGTAAAAATATGTGATATATGTGGAACAATATCAGATGTTGATGACACATAATGGAGCTGAATGCAAACGGAAACAAGCGCTGTGTGTCCCTACTTGCAGCCGGAGGCCACGTCTGTGAAGATGCGGAGCAGGAAGTCTCCCTCCAGGCCGGGTTCAAAGGTTGTGGGTATGACGACGTAGCGCCCCTCTTTCAGGTCAATTCGTAAGAACACAGACCTCGAGTTGATGTAGACGCTCCCACCGACTTTCTGCTGGGTGGCGTGCATCCGGTAGGTCCTGTTTAACTCCACCTGAAGAGACAGCAGCGGTTTTCACTCCCTTTACCTACAGACTTACAGAATAATGTCTCCCTCTCCAACCTCCACAGACTGTAGCATTAATTTAAAACATGCACTAATTTTGGTGTAAAAAAGGTATAATACAACCACACTGCAATAAATCTCATGTTCATAAAGATTTCGATGTTTTGTTTACTCTTAGAACTGGAGGATTTTGCAATAACATCTATGGATGTCTTGAAAACACACACAGACACACAGAGACACACACACACACAGTGGGCTGACCCTGTGTATGTCGAAACCAATAGGCAGGTTTTCTCCTCGTCCGCTTCTCAGTGTGGCTCTGCGGTCTTTCTGCTGCAGACAGAACAGAACCTCGTCCTCCGGCTTCTTCACATCAAACATGTACTACAGCACAGGAGAGATTTACACACGTATTGTTACACTTTCAGCCCTTGTTTCCTCAGCAACAGAGTTCTTGTCTGACACTGGTTTAAAATATCTGAGAAATTCTGAATAAACAGGAAGAAATAACACCTGTGGGTTCTGGAGGAAGGAGTACTTGTTGTTGGCACAGCCGCCGGCTCGGTTGTGAAGTGGGTCGTCATGTTGGCGCCAGGAGCCCCGAATCACGGCTTCCTCCCAGGTCTTATGGAAACTCAGGTAGGATGTGTTGATGAGACGACACAGTATCATGTCTGTGAAGTTAGCAATGAAGTCATCAAATGTCATCCTGCAAGAAAGGAGAGAAAGAGACGTGGATAAATATAATATATGGTTTATTTACAGTAACAAGAGTTTACTGTATGATCAGAGATATTTATGATGAAAGAAAATAGAAAACAAAGACAAAGAAGTATAAATTCAGTAGCAGTAGTTTAGAAATTGCCAAAGAATCAGTAAAATTATCTATGAAATCAACAAATTAACCCTTGAGAGATAGAAAATTAACAAAAAACAGATGCCTGAGGATGCAGCACCTCGTAATGTCCAACAGGGGGCAGCACTGCACTAAAACTCACCAGAACTCTCCATCATCCTGCACAGTGACTCCGATTTTCTCCCTCTCACTCTTGCTGACCTTCAGCCACTCTTCAGAGCTGCAAACAGGCAGAAAAAAGTCACTAGTCTTCTTCTGATAATAATCTTCTGATAATAAAACAGACAGACAGGATGACAGAACCTAAATCACAGGTTCTCAGAGGCCATTTGACAACTTTACAGATTAAGATTTTCTCTCCAAAATATGTAATAATCTTATAAAATTGGTATTGTTAAAGATTAGCGACAGTGTCTGAAACCCCTTGTAATGTTTCAGATGTCTGAGTTTCCCCTATAAACTTTTAAGATGGTTTCAAAAAATTGTTTAAAAAAAGAATCAAGGAACTGAAAGGATTATTCTGCAAAGTACATTTTGCTGATAACATTTTTTACTCAAGTAGGACTTTGAATGGATTTTTACATGTAATGGATTATCTCTACATTGTTGTACCAGTACTTTTACTTAAACCTTCTACAAGGAGCTTCTTGACTGTCTGAATTAAATACTGATGCCTCTATATGACCTAAACTAACAACACCATCAGTGACAAAATTAGCTAAATCTATGTAGTTATTTTAATGCCTTCCACCAGGTCGGATTCGTTCGGATTCAATCAACATAAAATTACATTTCCTGTAATGTAATTAAGCAAGTAAGTAATGGATCTGAGTACTCCCCCCCTCCCCCCCCCGCCAGTTTCCTGATTGGCCTTCAAAGGTCATCATCACTGGAACAACCTGAGTATTTGGCTGATGTCAAACCTGACTTACACACTGATACCACAATTTATCCAGAACAACTCTCCTCCTTCAACTCGTTCTTCAGTCTTTTTGCCTTTTCATCTTCACTCTCTCACTCTGTTAAACTCCCTCCCTGTATTCCACACCTCCTCTTCCTCACCTGTCGCTCCAGGGCCCGTTCCACTCTCTCTGTCCCCAGGGGTTTCTCAAGCGGATCATGTTGAGTTTGTCTGACTTGAAGTAGGCCAGCAGGCCGTGGCCCAGCCTCACCTTCCGGACGTCTGTCACCGCGTAGGCATGGCCCTTCACCAGACCGCAGTCCAGCCTGGCCTCGATGTCTGATTCACTGGTTGCCTGGAACGACACAACAAGTGGCGGCACTGGTTCAGTCTCTAAATCATTCAGTCATTCCTAAATCTATTCATTTAATCACTCAGTGTGTGTTTGTGTTCGTCCTCTCCTCACCCGGATTGAGGAGCTGATGAGGCCTCCTCTGTCGTGAACCTTTAGGACTGTATCAAACAGCTCGTCGCGCAACTCTTTATCCTCGTTTAATCCAATCTCCGTCAAGTCCATTGGCTCTGACAAGCCCCCAGTGAAATCCACGAGAGCATCGGCCGTGTTGCCCCCGTCCAGCGCCTCATAGCAGCCGTACATCCTACAAACACATACAAGCAATCATTAATAATTACAAACAACTGTACATTAATAAACACCTCCTCAATGTCACACACTGGACCTTGATATCAATTCACTTCTGGATTTTTTTCAAACTGGCTTTTTCTACACAACAACGGCAAACTGACTGTCCAAACATGGTTTCTAAAGAAAATAAACCATTAAAACTGAATGCCATAACTTAAACACACAGGATCATCACATTACTCAGGAGAGTCCCGTGACATCACTATGACAACATCAACGCTATTTGTCAGACCTGACCAAGTTCCTCCAGAGCCACTAAAGACATTATACAAGTGTTTTCACAGTTAGTAGTTCTCCCCATGGTAATAAAACTGAACTGAATGCACACACACACACACACACACACACAAACCCTGGAAGTGCTTACTTGGCGTAGGCCTTCTCCACCAGCGCGCTCCAGAATTCGTTGTTGTCATTGGAGTGACAGTACACCAGCTCGTTGTTCACCGTTGGCAGCCGGTCATCGATCACCACATCCACCCACTCACCGAACCGCCAGAACCGGAAGTGGAAGATCCCTGCGTAGGAGTCAGGTTTTTCTTTATTCCACTCCTGGTCCTTCCAGTCAGGAATCACCTGGGAAAAACGATTAGGTCACATGAGCTTGGTCACCATTTCATCAAAGCTCAGGTTTTAAATTTTAAGTGAGATTTGTGTAGTGATTTGTATTTGTGGGATCCTGCATGAATAGAAAAAATCAAAACAAGAAAAAGACAGACGCTGTGTGCTGTTCTGTGACTCACACTGACCTTTGACCTCTCTGCAGAAAAGGCCAGTTTTCAGAGAGATAATTATATTATCTCTAGTATGTTTTACTCCTAATGCAAACCAAAGTCACCTGGTTAACAAAATACCAGATACTAATACAATCAGGCAAATTCATGTGCTGCTCGTTGCGTAACTATGAAAATAGACCACATTACTCACCAGTTTTTTAAATACATACAAACTATAATGTCACTAAATCTGTAGTTTTTAGGAGTCTTTTTTTTTTATTTAAGTTTTTGAAGTTCCAAATTCCACTAAAAGATGCTCCTCTGTAGGGTGACAACTAATATAAATCATGTAAAATGTCTTCTCTAGTTTTTATCAACCTGTTTAAGAATAGCATCTCTACATGAGAACAGTATGTAGTATCAATAAATAGGCAACAGAAATAATAAATGCAACTGTTGCTCATATAAAAGAGTACAAATGGTATAAAAATAAATTACATAATAGGTATGAGTCACTGAAACTGTTTAAAATACAGTAAAAACAATAATCTAGAAGCTAAAGCATCAACCAAGTTGCTTTATTACAGATTCTTTAAATTAAACAAAAGTAATAATCACCTCTGACAATATCCAGTCCATTTGTACATACTTTACTAAATAAACTGACAAATATACAGCTATCCATTTGTTAGTTCCTAAAAAGTTATCTGTTTGTTTCCCCTAATTAACCTCCAGCATCTATAATTAACGTTAAGATCGTCAGAGGACTTATAGTTTTTAACAAGGGAATGCCATCCACCCATATCCTGTGCCAAGATCCCAACTGACGACACATTAACACCGACATCCACTGACACACACACACACACACACACACACACACAACGTAACAATCCTCAGTGAACTGAATGATATAAATAAATAACTGATCCATTGAGCCAAGACCAGTCGAGCTCCCAGAAGCCCTCAGGAAACTCCCAGAGTTCCCTCTCGTACGTCATCAGCGCCTCCTGTTGCCTAGCACCCTCACACATCACCCACCTCCTTAACGCCTTTAAGAAAAAGCTTAGAGAATATTTTCATTTGATATTCAGACATTTTAAATCAGCTATGAAATGTCTGAATATCAAATAAAATTACATTATATTACAAGATAAATGATTGTACTACTGCTACTGCGGGCAGAGATGAGGCATGTTTTGGTATTATTTTGTTTTATTTCATTCTGATTTTAGGAATTATTTATTAAATAATTCAGATAAATAATGTTTCTAGTGTTCAGAATTCCCTCACGATGGCACAAATGCTTATGTCAAATTGCATATTAAAAACACATTAATAAACAGTTTGGTGCATAAACGCCACATATTTTAAAACACTGAAACAAGTGTGGTATACACAAGAAGATAACTAATTAGTCTGACTGATGCTGTTTCCACATTGATCTCATCTACCAATGCTCTCCCCTGTCCTCTCTCACTTTATGTGGCGTGCCAATCAATGCTTCCTAACCAAACTACCCTGTGGGCAGGAGGGGGGGAGGTTGGGGACAAAAGTGAGAAACTGCAACACTGTCATGGAAATAGTTGGGAAGGGGAGGAGAGACAGAGAAGGTGTATGAGCCTATGAGAAAATAGATAGAGAGAGAGACAGAGAGAGAGAGAGAGAAAGAAAGAGACAAACACAGAGAGGAAGACAGAGAGAGAGAGAGGGGTTAAATAAAAAACTCTACCAGATCTCTATCTATCACAGCATCCATCCAGACTGCCAGGCCTCGCCCTCTCCTTAACCCAGGATTATAACCTTGAAGTCGGACATGGACAATACCAAGGCTCCTTCCAACGCAATTGTGCTGGAATTTAAAGAAGACACTGCACTGACAGAGGTGAGGTTCTCACTGTGAAATGACAACTTCTCACTTCCAGCTATGTGACAGTGACTACAGAGTATATTATCATAATATGTGTGTTTTAATTATATCACACTCAATGTGAAATTGAGTGTTTTCCTTTGGTCAGCAATGAAGTTTTGACTGCTGATGACATGATCAACATATAAATACTTATATAGTCCTTTAAATACTGAGAAAGGTTTGTAACAAAACTGTTTGAAATTTAGTGTATTTAAAAAAAAAAATTTATTGGTTATTGTTGGCCAACTTTTCTAATGTGATGTTTTGGAGATACATGTTTTCCAGCAACATCAGTTAACTTGGTTTAATGAACATTTTTATTTTATAATATCTGTTCTTAAAGTTCCCCTCGAATCAGAAATATATTTTTTGTCTTGTTCCTACAGTTGGATGTTTGATATTCACTGTGAAGAATGATGTCTGTGCAGAGTT